TTAAATACGTTTCAACTGATGCACTGGCCCACATTTCAGGCGGAAGCATAGAATCTTCTCCTATGTATGTTTTCAGGCCGAGTTTACAATCGATTTATTTTACTACCTGAAATTTCCGGGCCGAGTTTACAATCTACCTATTTTTACTACCTAAAATTCTCGGGCCGAGTTTACAACAAAAAAGGTACCTTCGGGCCCAGTTTACATTTACCCGATTAAGTCTATACAAAGAGAATATATGATTTTACTGACATCTTAGAGGTTTACACATAAAAATACATGATTCGCAAAATGAAAAGCCTTCTCATCAGATAGAATAAGTATTTAATATTTTATTCTATGATAAATAATTAAGTTAATTAAACTATTAAAGTAACAATTACCAAATAAAAATATTTCTACTAACCTTTTCATAAGCTTTTAATTGACTTGACATATCGACGTTTTAAGAAATTATTTTTTCCTATATAGATGAATATGCACCTGCAGATTAGTTTGCAATATTCTTTACTTGACACCACTAGAACATTGAAACAATTAATTATGACTTTTATATTATTATAAGTTATAACTATCATATATTAATTTGTATATTAACAGTAGGTAAGTAACTCAATAAAAATATGTAGATTTAAGACTAAATTAAAATAAAATAATTTGATTTTTATACGTATAAATATTAGAAATTATTGCTTCGAGAATCATAAATTGAGACCCTCAGGAAGAGATATATAAAAACAATAACTTTTAGGCTTGAAAAATGAATACACTTAACTACAATATAGACAGACGACTGTAAAATATAAGGAGTTAAGACTTAACACTTCCCAACGGCAGGTTACAGGTAGATAAGTACCTAATTGAGTACATTAACCGTACTCAAAATTGAAATACATCTGATCGATAAGTGTAAATCTAGACACTACCTTCTAACGAGATACTTTTACAAATGAATAATGAAATTGATATATGTATATAATATGTATATTTATATGTATGATTAATTTATTAATCGTGACAAGCATTACCTTAAATAGTTTAGCTAAATGTAAGGGTACCTTTATTTTTTACCCTAATATCTTCTTGAATTCTTATGCACTTACACTTATATTTTGTGATTAGTTGCATAAACTGTACTTACATCGCTAAACTGGTAAAATTTTTAAATTAATTTCATCATTACACACGGCTTATTAGATTGCACCATACACAAATAGAGGCGATCGACGTCGTGATTGTTATCAATGTACAATATTATACTTTAATTTTAATAAACATAGGTTTAAAAATGATGAAATATCACAAAAACAAATATATATGTTAACAAAACTTTTTATTTTTTTCTAAACTGAACACATTGAATTTAATTATGACAATATCATTTTACAATTGTCCTTATATTTTATAAATCAGTAACCTACTATATGGTCTTTGCCCACTTTAAAAATTAATAACCACTATGGCGTTGCGTATAATATCTCAGCAATTAAAATAATAGTGTGTATAACTTAATTAATTGGACAAAAGATTAATCTGGCTATTGATAATCTGTTATATAAACTGTTTGTTCTTCAATTACATTCATATGTGTGTAATGTGTTTAAATAATATTTATTATTTGTCATAATTTCATTATGAAGCGCGAACATGATTCACCGATTACAAATTATAATTTTCCTCTAAAATCAATACTACTATCCATATTTGTGGCTTAACACAAAAATAGTTAGTCTTGTTTTTTTTATAAATAATTTTAATTTTGTAATTTCTATTACATACATATTTATACTTTTCTAGCGCTATAAAATTCCATCTCTGATAATAATAATAGTTGCTTAGAGCAAAAATTATCACATCTTACATAGTCAAGTAGGTATCATATAATTTCATGAAATATCAAACTTACATATTATTATCACGTATTATCATCGTAAACGAAAATATATCGTTTAGTGGTGTTGGTCCATCCCATATTATGCCTTTAATGATATTTTATTACATAGGTATTTATACAGTATTATACTTATTGCAGTATTACAGTAGATAATTTATTTTGTTATTAATAATGTCATTCACGGTAGGTTGAACCAGTGACGTATTGAACTTATTTTTATAAGAAGCAAAGATTAATCCATGATACCCGTAGATAATATGTATTACGTATATATTTAAGATTTGTGTTATTTTTTAATAAAGGTACTATAATTATTATTTACGAATTATGTACAAATTGTCATAATTAGATGTTCACTGTTCATACCTTGAGTTTTCAAAAATTAGCATGCAATGTTCAATCACTAGGATTTCACTTACTTTTTTTAATTAACTAATATTTTTAATAATAAATAGCACATAGGTATTATAATGAAGTTTTATATGGTTTTCTTAAAGTTAGGTTAAAAATAAACAGTTGTACCAATTTTAAAGTCTAAGCTGAATAAATATTTAATGTTGAAAACCAATTTATGAATACATTTTAATAGTAAACAAAATCTTAACTAGGTAGTCAATCACTGTTCTGTTTGTCCTACCAAATAG